GTAATTCGAGTTATCGATTACAGCTATTACACCCCCCTCCACCCCACTACATATATAAGGGGCCATAATTGAGATTTCCTTTAACGCAATGTAGTTAAGATATTTTTTTCTTTCTAAACAGTCGCTCTAATTTGCTCCTCTCTCATTGAAAGCTTTTTCAGTTTTTTTTTTTTTTTTTTTTTTTTTTTTTTTTTTTTCATGATTGCCGTTGTTAACTTCTTGGGCAACATATTTTTATTTTATTTTTTAATGTTGGTAACTAGAAACTTCAGCAAGCCGGGAATAGGAGGAGAAGCGGTAAGGAAAAACGTGAAAGTGTGAGGGCTGGATTCGTTGTGAAACGGTGACCGGAAAGTTGCGCACTAGAAAACGGCGCAAACGAAAAATGCGCACTAAAAATGCGCTAGGGTATTTTTATTTTTTATTTTCTTAAATGGAGTATTTATATTCATTATCAAAAAGAGTGACTATATGGAGACTGTATCAGAATAAAGCAAAATATATCTCACAATTTAAGCGTATTAGTATAATAAGTATGTATTTGCGTGATTTTCTGTTTGCGCTGTTTTCTATTGCGCAGTTTTATGTGAAGCGTTGTGAAACTGCTAGGATATTAACAGAGTTTCTTTTCCTTTCTTGGGGAATGAGAAGCTTGAGGGCGCTTCGACACCCCCATTGACGAAATTGACACACTCACAATATAGCAGCCAAAATAGACACACACAACACAAGCACATAATAACAGCCAACGTAGACATACACTGACACACGCAGAAACGCACAAAAAAAGCAGCCAACATACACATACGCTGACACACAAACACATATACAGCCAACACGGACATACACTTACACACACGCGCACACAATAGCAGTTAACATACAAATACACAGATACATACGTACAATATAGCGGCCAAAATACACATACAGACACACACACAATGGCATCCAACATAAACATACACACACAAACGCGCGCACACACACACGACAACATCCAGCGTATAACACACAGAAAAATAAGCAGACTCAACCTACCAGTTAAAGACCAAAAAAATCTGGTTTTAATTAAAAACAAAACAAAACTGCATACATTCTTTAAACGAAAAATAACAATAGTGTAATTGAAAGCCATCGATTCACCTGTAAAACTTTTTTCTAATAGACCGTTATAAAAAGATCGAAATGAAGCATGTCGAGTTTATTAAGTGTTGACGTTGTATTTTTTTTTAATTAACTTCTTTAAAAGCTTATAGTTGAAGGAAAAATAACGCTATTTGCATGATTGTTATGTTACTCTTTTCTTGTACTTAATATTTTTTTCCTTATTTCATAATTATAACATCGAATGGGATTTCCCCCAATATAATTACATTTTGTGAGTCAACATGTTTGCACAATGTGACCCAGTGATTCTGACTTTGGACAGTTTTTTTTTTATTAATTCACTTCTATAGTTCACAAAGGCAGCAGTTGATTGATAAATGTTATGCGTTGTATGGTGGGAATTTGTATGTGCCGTATGGCCAATTGAATCTGATTTAAGACTGTTTTTCGGAATGTACTCCCATAGTTCAACCAAGAACATATACAAAACAACTGTTGTATTGGAATTAGTATGTGCCGTTTGATCTATTGACCAATTTGAGACTGTTTTTCTTACTAAATGTACTCCCATAGTTCAACCAATAACATATACAAGACAACTGTTATATGGAAATTGGTATGCGCTGTATGTCCCATCGCCTCTAATTTCAGCCTGCTTTTCTTCCTGCATCTTCGTCTATACTTCCATAGAACATAACATAATAGGCAGCTTTTATTTGATTTTGCAGTTGTCTCTTTTTTTTAAAACGTTTTTCTTAACTCAGCTTCGCGTTTGTTTGTTTGTTTGGTTGTTTGGATGTTTGTTGTTAAAATTGACATCGAAAATTAGCCCACTTCTGATTGCTCTAGAGACCTGAAATTTGGCATGCATGCTACTTTCGCCTAACAATTTCAGATGCAATAATAAAAACTAGCAATTAGTGACCGTAATTAGCTTAATTTAATTACGCTCCAAGGACCATAAAATTGAGGACATGATTTCTAAAGATACCGACAAGACTGGAGGCCTTTTGACACAGTTACTTCGGCCCCAATCGATGTGAGCGCGCTGGCCGTGATCGTATAGTGGTTAGTACTTCGCGTTGTGGCCGCGACAACCCAGGTTCGAATCCTGGTCGCTCAAGATTTTTAGTCCGTGTATTTATAAACACTTTTTTAAAAACCACGTTTTTCATGTGTAACAACGGACTAAAAAGGAGAAAATAAAATACTTAAAAAAAACTTTAAAAAAAAACACGTTTTTTATGTGTAGCAACGGACTAAAAAGGAGAACGGACACGGTAACACATTGTTAACGGTGACACGGTTGGTACGCTGGGCATGCTAAAATACACATAAACACGTTTTTCCTTAACTCAGCTTTGCGTTTATTTGTTTGTTTATGGGAGATTTGATCACGTGATTCGTGAGTAGATCTCCACGCCAGCAACGTAAATTACACCCTTTCTCTGTTTAAAGCGTATCGGTCGCTCAAGATTTTTTTAGTCCGTGTATTTAAAAACACTTAGTCAAGTCATACTTAATCAAGTGATTAGATAAAGTAGAAAATAAACTATATAAAAAACTTTTTAAAAACCACGTTTTTCATGTGTAGCAACGGACTAAAAAGGAGAAAATAAAATACTTAAAAAAAACTTTTTAAAAAACCACGTTTTTCTTGTGGACTAAAAAGTAGAAAATAACTATTTACATACATTTGATGACAAAAAACGTGGGTCGGGCAGATGGGTCGGGAAATTTGATGGTGAACGTACCCACGTTTTTTGTCATCAAATGTATGTAAATAGTTATTTTCTACTTTTTAGTCCACAAGAAAAACGTGGTTTTTTAAAAAGTTTTTTTTAAGTATTTTATTCTTGCGTTGTGTCCACAGTTACCCAGCCTCATCTACACTGGGGTTCGAACTCTGGACTTACAGATCAGCACTCACGAATACAGATTTCAAACAATACTCATTCGTTTCATAGATTTACAAATGGGTCTGTGCAAAACAAAGCTTTTCTAGAAACAGTCTAGTTTTGTAGAGGTGTATCGTACACTGCATCTTTTATTTATGTTGAATAATAATTTAACCAAGATTTTAATCTGTAGGTGGACGGCGGTGCTACAGAGCTTGTAAGTCTCGTTCCCTCTCGCTTGAAATTGAGATCTCGTTAGCCAGGGAGAAATATAAATTTTCGAACTCAGTTTTTTTGTTGTGAACAGGATTCCCATTGATAACAAAAAACATGGCGGTTATTTGTTTCTAAGCATCGCTTAAAGATTTTAAAATAGTTCCCAAAATGCAGCAATTAGATTGTATTTTATTTACTAATAATGTAATCAAATTAAGTACCAATATGCCTAGGCTATTATTATGTTAATATTTTAACTACGTTTGGGACAACTTGTTTACGATTCGAATAAATAATGACGAAGTGTACGCGTCTTAAAAAGAATAACACTTTAGCTTCGGCCTTATTTTTCTTTAAATTAGGCTACATCTTGTAGTCTATCATTACGATTGTTTACGATTTTGAATATCTTAACAATAGCGGAAGTAACATTTCTATTGTATTCTAACGATTTAATGTAAATTGTCATATTTGGTTTGAAAATACTGGTTGGAACATGCGAGAACGAGGGAGATTGTGACTTAATTACAAGCTCTTTTGTGGTAGATCGCGCGCTCGCTATGAAGTCATCGACTAAAAATAGTTTAAAGCTTAGAGAACTGAAACTCAGAGGCGTTGCGACTTATTCCGACGCCCGGGGCGGAATATCAAATTTACGCCACATGGGCGAAAAAGCCCCCCCCCCCCCCCCCCCCCCCCCCACAATTTTAGACACCATCCCTTGTTATTATGTCACAAAATTGAAAAAAAAATGTTAGTCAGAAAAGCCAAGCAGTAGTCAATTTTTTAAATTTATTTTCGACTGTGCACCATTCAGTAATGCAACGCTAAGTTTGGTTATATTTAAAAGAAAAATAATTACCTTTAATAAAAGGAGGGTTTTATTTTTTTTTTTTTTGTATGCTTAAGTTTCTTTTTTCTTCTTCTTCGTCCTTTATTTTAGTATTGGAAGGGATCAATTTTTTAAATTTATTTTCGACCGTGCATCATTCAGTAATGCAACTCTAAATATGTGTTTACCCCCAACTTCCCCTGGGCTGAAACTAGAGCGTTGACATTAATCTCTGTAACGTAACATGAAACAGCTAACATTTTGGGACCCATTCAACGTAACAGCACATTTTGTTTAAGCGTTCTTAAGTTTGGTTATATTTAAAAAAAAATTACCTTTAACAAAAGGACAGTTTATTTTTTTGTGTATGATTAAGTTTCTTCTTTCTTCTTCTTCTTCCTTAATTTTAGTGTTGGAAGGGAACCCCTCCAACACATTAAAGTATACGTGTCAACTGGTTATGCGCCATTAAGGCCATTTACTACGATTTCCGCCTGCTTTTCTTTTTAGATTTACGTCCATAGCCTTTGTCCAACGAAGAACAAACTACCAGGCAACAATTGTTTGATTTTGGAGTTGTCTCTCCTCGAAGAGTGGCTGTCCCCAGCTAACGAGCCTCATCTGCTCGAATGCTTAAGTTTACTTAGATGATTATTTTTTGCTATTTATTTCTCCATTTACTAGAACATAATCAAACTTATTAAACAATGTCTTATGTAATAAACGGGACACACGAAACAAATAAATTCCACTAAAACACCTGTACTAATTAATAATATGTGTATGTCTTTGTTAAAAGTTAATTAGAACATTACATTTTTTATCTCCTTTACGCCAGCCGTTTTTCTTTCATGCGTGACCAAAATATGTATTCCTCTAAAGATGGCTAATTGATAGACCCGTATCGACCCGGCGCGGCTGATTTACTGACGTCATTAACTTACCGGATATCCGGTTCAGCGAATGGACAACTTCCTTGGTCTTTATCACAGAAGCCACAGTGACCGTCGTCAAGGGCCTCGTGTTTATTATCACAGAAATCTTCCTATCCCCAGCCTGTCAGAGAATGAGAGAAAAAAAAATGCATTCGTTCAGATTTTGTTGTAGAGTTTGTTGGAGTATATTTTTATTTTAAATAAATTCAGGGGAAAATTTGTTTTAAAGGTAAGCATAATTGAAGTACACACGGTACAATTTTTTTCTCAAGTATATAACTGTGTGGTTATAGAGCACTTGACTGCTAACCCGGAAGTCTCGAGTTCGAATCCCGGTTAAAGTCAGTAGACCGTTGTTTAGTTAACCTAGCTCTGATTGAAGGGTACATAACTCATGTTAAGAAAACAGACGCGGCTGGGCATATCCCACTATCTCTTCATATGCCGATGTCACAGAAACAGGTGAACTCTACTTCACCTGACCAGTGGGCCGTCAGGTTCGAAAAGGGAAAATATCCATTCAGTGGCGTAGGCAGGGGGGGGGGGGGGTTAGGGGGGGTCATAAACCCGCCCATAGAGCCCTCGGTATATAGAAAAAGTATGAGGGGGGGTGCAAATCGAAAGTTTGAGGGTGGGGTGCAAATCGAAAGTTTGAGGGTGGGGTGCAAATCGAAAGTTTGAGGGTGGGGTGCAAATCGAAAGTTTGAGGGTGGGGTGCAAATCGAAAGTTTGTCCCCGGGTCCCCGGGTAAAAATTGGAACCCCCCCCCCCCCCCCTCTTGAGACGATCTTGGCTACGCCACTGTATCCATTGTTTAAGTCACCAAACACCTTAATTGATGTGCAGTATACGATCGAGTTACAGAGTAGGGCGAGAGAGTTGTTATGTATTCCTACAAAGTTGACTAAAGTAAATCTTATTTACTTCATGAAATCACTCTTTTAAATGTGAACGCTTAACGGCAGGCTGGGGCTATGATGCTAAAGAATGTTTAGCGTAGAAAGCATTGGTGGCCTTGTTTTGTATCACGTATAGCTTTCAGCATTGTGTGTGTGTGTGTGTGTGTGTGTGTGTGGAAGGGAGGGGGTGGGAGAGAATTTTATGAAAAGTTTATGTTTTGACTATCACTTGAGTCATCATGACGTCCCTTAACTGTATCTACAGGACGCCCCGTAACAATAAAAGTAGAGTCAACATTACGTCCCATAACTGTATCACTTGAATCAACATGACGTTACATAACTATACAAGTCGAGTCAAAATGACGTTCCATAACTATGATTTTAGTCAACATGACGTCCCATAACTGTATCAATGAAGGCAAAATGATGTGCCTTAACTGTATTATTTAATGCAACACTTTGTCCCATAATTCTAATGTTGTATTCAACCATTACGTCCCATAACTCAAAAGTTGGACTTAACATTACGTCCTGTTTACGTCCCATAACTCTAAATATAGATTCAACATTACGTCCCATAACTCTAAAGTTGGATACAACATTACGTCCCATAACTCTAAAGTTGGATTCAGCATAAGGCCCCATAACTCTAAAGTTGTATTCAACATTACGTCCTATAACTCTAAAGTTGTATTCAACATTACGCCCATTACTCTAAAGGTGGATTCTACATTACGTGCCATAACTCAAAAGTCCTTTTTTTGTGTTTCATTTTACCTAACACAACGAAAGTTCTTACTTGACCTGCTATTTTAAAAAAAAAAACAACAACAGACAGATCACGTGACTTAATTTCATTTTTTACCCAATAAAAAATAACAACAACAGCAACAGCCGCTGGATTTGAACTTGTCTCACTCGATCGATCACGAACAACCGTTTGATTTTAAAAGAACCCTACGCTTGTCCGGACCCCCAAGACAACTTGCCACCATTTGATGGCCAATTAACTCAAGTCTAAAATATCTCGATCCTGTTGTCATTCGATCTTTATGAAAACAGCATGCCAGATTCAAGGGGAATTAACTCTCATGGTTTACGTGCTCGGATGCATTTCCTACATTAAAAAATCGATTACTTCTAGTCAACTTCCGGTTTCGCTTTTGCGGCCATTCAGATTCCGTTTTGAGATAACAACAGCGGGGTAATGGAGAGAACAGACACAATGGAGGAGGGTTTAAATGGTGATGCATTATCGGAATAGAGGTGACTTAAAGGTGAGACGTGATGGTGACAAATGGTGACATGCGATCCTACAGGGGTTATTTAGAATGAGGTGTTGAATATATTAGGAGTGGAAATGATTAGCTTTTTATTTCTTTAGACATGTGAGGGCCATGCAAATTTTCGATTTGCACCCTCCCCTCGAACTTTCGATATTTGCACCCCCCCCCTCGAACTTTCGATATTTGCACCCCCCCACCTCGAACTTTTGATTTGCACCCCCCTTCAAACTTTCGATCTGCACCCCCCCCCTCAAATTTGTTTCTATATATTTTACTATTTTTTGCCTTCGTGTCACCTCCCTAAATGTTGACACCCGGTCTGCACCCCCCGCCCCCCCCCCCCTCGCTACGCCTCTGCTTAAAGGTGAGACGTGATGGTGACAAATGGTGACACACGATCCTACAAGGGCTAATTATAACGAGGTGTTGAATATATTAGACGTGAAGAATGATTAGCGTTTATTTCATTAAACCTTTGAGGGCAATGTTGGTGACTTAATGGTGAGACAAATGGTGACATATTATCTAATATCGGCTAATTAGAATGAGGCGAAGAATGTTTTGGAGTGGCCTAAAGGTGAGACGGGATATAAAGAATGGTGACACATGGTGACGCATGGTCTAATATTGGCTAATCAGAATGAGGCGTAGAGTGTATCTGGCGAAATGGTTAGCTCTTCCTTTCATTGAAGCCTGTGAGGGTCACGTTGGTGACTTAGAGGTGAGACGTGATCTGACTGGTGGTGACAAATGGTGACACATGGTGACACATGATCTAATATCGATTTTTGCGCATTCGGGTAAGTGTCCATTCGATCATTTGTCGCATTCGGGCAAGTGTCCATTCTAGCAATTGTCGCATTCGGGCAAGTGTCCATTTTAGCAATTGTCGCATTCGGGCAAGTGTCCATTCTAGCAATTATCGCATTCGGGTAAGTGCCCATTCTAGCAATTGTCGCATTCGGGCAAGTATCCATTCTAGCAACTGTCGCATTCGGGCAAGTATCCATTCTAGCAATTGTCGCATTCGGGCAAGTGTCCATTCGGGTGTTTGTCGCATTCGGGCAAGAGTCCATTCTAGCAATTGTCGCATTTGGGTAAGTGTCCATTCGGAAAAACGGCCTTCGGGCAAATGGCATTCGAGCAAGTGTCTTTCAGGAATTAATCGAAGACCCTGAGATCGCAAGATACTGGTGTGGTTTGAAATCACATATTTCAGTCGTGAGTATTGTCGGCTTCGCGAGACAGCGTGGTCGAATGGTAGAGCGTTTGGCTGCTTTTCCGAAGATCTGGAGCTTCTGACTTGTGTCCTGTAGGATGTACCTGAGTCGATCCAGCTCTTATTGGTTCCCTGACTTACATTGGGGAAAGTAAAGGCGGCTGGGCAATAAGTACATGCAATCTATTCACCTACCACGTGAATCTCTAGGTCTAAGAAGGAATTTTTACTTTTTATTTTTGAATTTATTAAGTACGAACTGAATGCAAAAATATTGACTAAAATATCGACTTAGTAATTTAAAGTTTAAAATGCATAATTACTTAAAGGTTGAAAGTAATAAAAAAAAATATGGAAAAAAATATTCTTGGTAATAAGGTTTAATTAATAAATGCATTGTTCTTTCATGAAATCTCTGACACCTTTTAGCGACTGATGTGTTTATTTGTGTGCTTGTGTGTATGTGTTTACCTCAGATATGTAATTTAAAGCGTCAGTTTGCCCTGCTTTAGTATTACAATTTTCATCATTGTGAAAAAAGATAAAGATTTACAATATTAACATTTGTTTCTGACGTGTAGCCTACTTTCATTTATTTAAGATGGTTTATTTATACAAAATACAGAAAGTTTAAGTACATTTTAATTTTTAAAATCTGAAAATGCAAATGTGAATGGCGATTCCATAATCTTTTTTTTTATTTTCTGAAATTTGTGTTTAAAAAAAAGTTTATGCAATGAAGAATTTCTTATTACAGACAACTAATTGCTTTACAGATTATTTTTATACAAAAATCATGTACTTGTTCCATGTTGTATAAAAGCAAAGGCATAAAATTAATGGCAAATATTTAATCAGTGGTAAGAGATATATTGGATTTTATTTTAGGACACTTTGTTATAGTGTATATCACACTGTAATGGTTTAACCAAAACAGATGTGGGTTCTACATGATTTCGGTTTCACTAACTTTGTATTGACGCTTTGTTATAATATAAAGAGTTCCTTCCCTTAGTTTTAATGATTTAGTATTTAGTTATAGGGTTTGCAAGGGTGACTCGTCAAAAGAGCGCACGACAAAAGAGCGCCGACATAAGAGCGCAGACAAAAGAGCGCCGACATAAGAGCGCCGACATAAGAGCGCAGACAAAAGAGCGCCGACATAAGAGCGCTGACAAAAGAGCGCAGACAAAAGAGCGCCGACATAAGAGCGCAGTCAATTAAAAAAACACATGTTGTACGCTAAACGAATATGACATGGTTAACACTTGTTTTAATTAAACAATCGGCGAGAAAATAATGTTTTTATTTTTATATGATGGTTAATATGTTATGAATGCATTTTGAAAATATTTCTAACCCAAGTAACATGGAGAAGATCGAATCAGAGAAACGGAAGGTTATTATATTGGTCGAAGGCTACAGATATAGACAGGACAGAGCAAATGCTGATGTGAGTACGACATGGAGATGCTGCAAGAAAGATGGCTGACGAGGACGGATGAAAATGCTGAACGATGTTGTTCTTTCATCATCAGAACACAATCACGATCTTGATCCGGGAAAAATTGAAGCAGCGAAAGTTGTATCGGCTATACGAACACGGGCAGTGGAAGGGGGGGGGGGGGACCAAGGCAGATTATACAACAAGCCAGAGAAGGAATTTCGATGGAAGTAGCACCTCATTTGCCGGCATACGTCGCTTCACAACGTGCAATTGAAAGACAGAGAAAACGCAAGCAGCTGCCATACCCAAATCCACAGAACGTTGCAGAGATAACAATTCCTGAACCTCTTCAAACGACAACCAGAAGCTTCAAAGAACAATTATGTTCAGCTGAACCGAAGATTGCAGGCGATTGCTTCAACCTATGCTAATGATTCAATGATGGACTACCTACGGGGTATAGCCCACAACTTAGCAATATAAATGCAACTATAAAGAAACGTTTTATTAATTAATTAAAATAATATTAATTTTCATTTTGTTACATTTCATTTCAGTTTATATTCTCACTTTAGGCCTATCATTTAAAATCTTTGTATGTGTTATTAGATTGCGTTTTGAATAATTGTACCAGTTTTTTAGTTAAAGAAACTAAACAATTAGTTTTTTACTGAAAATTAATGAAACAATAAAGAGTTAACACCAAACGATGCCTTCTGATCTGAGTTAATTTTCTTGTTTTTATTTATTAAATATGGTTTTTCGATTTTTAGTTTGCGCTCTTATGTCGGCGCTCTTTTGTCGGGAAATTAGTGCGCTCTTATGTCGGCGCTCTTATGTCGGCGCTCTTTTGTCTGCGCTCTTATGTCGGCGCTCTTTTGTCGTGCGCTCTTTTGACGGGGTGCCATATATATATATATATATATATATATATATACTTTGTCTCTTGGGGGGGGGGGGACGCACCCGGTGCCACCCGACCTAGCGACGCCACTGCCACAGGTAAACATGACCCCCTCATTACCCGTGTTAAACCTACCACGCATGATAGAAGTTTTAAAACTACTCACTTGTGCCATTTTGATAAAAGCAAGCTGTCTAGACATACTGCGAAGAAACTGTTGTAAAACTGTTTAGAAGAAAATGCAAATAGATTTAACGAAATGTCCCCTATAACTAATCCACAATACTTGGTATTTAAAAAAATAAAACGTGTAAGGGAGGTAATCCACTCAATAAATTTTAAAATACCTATTCTCTGTATTTTCGTGTATTTAGATACTTTCTTCTGATTTATGTTAACTTAAAATCTTTTGTAGTTACAAAGTAATGTAAAATAATATACTATCATATTTCATAAATTATCTTCATAAAGTGATGTTTTTTTAAAATAAAGACATAAACTATAGAAAGTCAGATAGTGTTGTTTTATCTCTAGCGATGTAAAATAATGTAATAATGTTTTGATCTTCCGTAACAGTCGGTTTAAAAATCCCAGTACACTTAATTTTTTAAAAATTGATGTTTTTTAAACATGGCATGCGATTAAAGTATAGTTATATTTTCAATTTTTGCATTGAATAGTTTCAATTTAAATGTAATTTAGAATTAGTTTATCAATTTAAATATTTAAAAAAATAAACAACCCTCATCCTCTCTTTCAAGTCACCCTGAATGGCCAAGTAGAGTAAAACAATAAACGTCACAACAATTGTTTTCCATGATAAAATACGCAATCGTGGCGAATGGCGTTTAGCCTAGTATTGTATTAATATTAAATAATATAAAAGTAGTATATTAGGTCCCTTTTGGAGCGAATTTGGGTGGTGGATGCGGATGCGTATGCGGATGCGGAACAAAGGCTATATAGGAAAATACTCACCCAGCCTGGGACAACGACATATAGCAAAATACTCACCCACCTGGGTAAGTGGGTGAGCAGCCTGGGACAACGAGATATAGTAAAATACTCCCTGGCGGAGGGTGAGGTACATCCACATATAGCAAAATACTCACCCACCTGGGTGAGGCGGATGGGAAGCCTGAGACAATGAGATATAGTAAAATACTCACCCACCCTAGGGTGGGGGATGCGGATGCGGAGTAGGTCAGTAGGTCACCACCGGTGACCTTGTGACGTAATCACTGACCCTGTGACGTAATCATTGACATAGTTAAGTAATTTTAATGCGTTTTTTAATTAGTTTAATTTTTATTAACGAGTTACGTAATTTGATTATTTGTTTACTTTTTAATTATTTTTATTGAGTAGTTACGTAATTGGATTTTAATTTTTTTAATTTTTAAATTTTTTAAATTTTATTTTATAATTAGTTTGAATTTAATTTAATTACTTTGTTTATATTGTGTAATTTTTATTGACGTCACCATCTTCTTATTATCGTACTTGACATTGAGTATTTTTCAAACCTAATTTAAATGTGAATATTTTTAATCAAATCAGTAATACACACACACACACACACACATATATATATATATATATATATATATATATATATATATATATATATATATATATATATATATATATATATATATATATATGTATATATATACAAATATATGTATGTTTGTATATATAACTTACTTCCGCTATAGTTAAGTTACTTGAACTAGTAAACGATGATAAATTACACAATGTTTGCTAGCCAAATGAAAAATGATGCAGCCTACGTTAATAAATTATGAACTTTTTGAAGAATTCGGATCCGTAACAGGTTGTCGTAAACGTCATTGCAATCAGCGTTTCTTCGAGGCATCACTTCGGGTAGGATGTCTACCGCCACCGCCCCCCCCCCCCCCCGAACGAAAAGGAATTTATATAGAAAACATAGACTTTTACCAGTGTCCACCCACCCGGAAAATGTTGACCGCCCCTTCCCCGCCCCGAAAATATCAAGTGCCCCTCCGCCCCCACCCCTCACCGGAGAAAAACGTCTGGAACAAACACTGATTGCAATATTAACATGGCTTCATTAACAGCCTATGCCGACCGTTGATTTATTTTATTCAATTGGTAGTAAAAAAAAAATATAATCGTTGTTGCGTTTTTGGGTCCTCTTAGTATTTTAAAATCGTAAAGCCGCCATGATTTTTGTAATCAAGTGGGATCATGTACATAACCATTCATTTAGTTTAAAAATTTGTATTGTTCTAAAGCTAACGAGATTTTGAAATTTAAGGCGAGAGAGACCGAGACCTACACGCGCTGTTGATAATCTTGAGTGCACATTTAAATCAATTAAATTCGCGTTGAATTTTAGTTTGTTTTTTTCTATTGTAAGCCGCGCAGCTTAGGTCGTAATTATATTTTAATGCCCCAAAACCACGTTTCGGCTTAAATTATTCGACTCTTAAGTCTAACCAGCCGCTTTTTACATTTAAAAAAATCGTACGTCATAATGTGGTCTTGTGAAATAGAATCTGTAGAATATTCTTCAACTTGAAGACAGCTTGTCGCCCATGAATATGATATTTTGTTTGATACGATTGGGGTAGGAAATTATAATAATATTAAATTACAACCGACGTTCTAAACAACGGTATTGTTGAGTCAGTGAAGCGCTGCTTGTTATTATTTTTATTTTGTCTGAGGATTGTATGACAGAGATGGTTTAATGTAATGGCAAATCCTTTAAAAGCAATCAAACATGTTTTTGTTTTAGTCTTGATTGGTGTTTAATTCAGTTCGGATCTTAGGTTTAAGTAAACGTGTTAAGTATTCTACAAGAGTGTGAGGAATCAAATGGTTTTGGTAAAAATGAACGAGATAAGGATAGAACATTTTTAGCCCTTTCTTCTTCTTCTTCGTTCTTAATTTTCGTGTTGCAAGGGATCCCCTCCAACACAATTAAGGATATGTGTCAACTGGTTATGCGCCATTGAGGCCATTGACTCCGATTTCAGCCTGCTTTTCTTTTTGGATTTGCTTCCATAGCCGTTGTCTAACCAAAAAACAAATTACATTATCGCTGGTTAAATTTGATAGCAGAATTAGTAAAACGGCTATCGTCCCCATTAGTATTAGTTAATTTGATTATTTATTTATTTAAAGGGTAGTGCTTATTTCAGTCAACGAAAGAGGAAATACTTAATGCGATTGCATTGACATTCGATGAAATATACACTGTGCGTATATCTCCTTTCGGTTTAGGTGAATTCTACGTGAAAAGTTTTGAAAAAATCGGTCAGGTAGACCTTATCTTTTTCAGAAATCAGAAACAGCGTTAAGTAAAACCCAAAATTAGAGCTAATCAAGAGAATAAGATTATTGAGCTCGATGTTAATACTTCCTCTATATGCCCACTCTGTATACGAGAAAGGAAAAACAATCCAACAGAATTTTAATCAGTTTTCGTCAATCATTTTCAGACCATTGAGGAAAAAAACTATGTCTAAATGTATACAAAATGCGCTGCATTTAAACCATTATACCATTAAGTTTCGTATTTTAATAATTTTTTTTAGTTTGTCCAGTACAAATAATACCCTTTCATATCGATCCAAGTTTTCCTCCGTGTTTTGGGTTTGTCTATGTTTTAATACTTGAACATTTTGAAACTACAGCAGACCCTTCCAGCTATTTGACACCTACAAAACTTCAGTTCGCGTAAGGTAGGAGAAGGGGTAGGGGGTAGTTGGGATTGCTGACAAGTGTCCTTTTGTCGTGGGTCCTAGTAATTTACAAACTAACACTCAATGGTCCTTGTTGATGTTGTTTTAAATACAACTAAAACAAAATCTAATTTTAATAATAAGTCAGATTAAATAAAACCTGAAAAAAATAGCATATCGCCTATGAATATAATTTGTTTGAAAGGATTAAAATCTAATACCTAATTGCTAATCCGCAGGACGGAGTATTATTAAATTACAAAATTACAATATTATTAAATTACAGCCGACGTTCTAAACAACGGTATTGTTGTCTTTCAGTTCGTCGAAGAAAAAAAATCTGAATTATTTAAGGTGGTAGGCTGTTGAAACATTAAGGTGGGGGTGTGTATGTGTGTATACTTGTGGAATTAAAGTATTTTTATACATACCCTTGGCATTTTTTTTTATTATCACAAAAGCTACTAAGAAAGTCATCTCTATGATTTATTGATGTGCAATGTTGTGAAGTTTTTTTGTAAGGTAAGTCTAGACTACAGGCGTCACTGTGACTGAACGACTACACAGTAACTACACAAATGCGCATTTTTATTCTACCTCTTACTTAGGCCTACAATGAACCTATTTTCATGACCTACATAGTTAGCCAAGTGACATGAATTATTAACCGTCATTGAAAGCTTGAAAGCTCTAAATATAGATTCATTAATAAAAAAAAATCCTGTTTTTATTTTTTTGTCCTATAACCAATCATCACTTGCCACGAATTAAATGATATTAATTTCAGGGATTTTCCTATTCGTCTTCGTGGAACAAAAAGTATCAATTTTTTTCGGATTTTCAAATTTATCTTAAATATAGTAACGGTCGCATTGACCAAAGCCATCGTTAAAGTTTAACGCTATAATGAATGGAAACTTTGTGAGTATTTTACTCCTTAAGTAAAAAAAAATGCAAAAAAACTAGAAGAAGCAAAAAAGTATGGCTTGTAAATTATGCTTGAGATTAATTATTTTTTGTATTAGTTTTAATGTAGAAGAAATGCAGAAATTATTTGTTTGTGTGTCACCCATAGTCAGCACCGCAGAATGAAGATCTGGGTCGGGTCGATCTTAAAAAAGAGAATCGATATTTCTTTCTTTTGTTAGTTTTAATACGCTCTTAAAATTTGAAAATACCGTAAACTATGAAAAATTATGGCAAATAAATAATAGCATGCTGTAAGCTGAATGACTACACAAAAAACGCCATTGAAATGTCATCTTAAATATTTTTAATGCTGCATTCAACATTTGTAATCGTAACTATTAAATCAAATATATTTATTTTTTGACGATTACTTCGAGAAGAATTCCCGATGAGTTTATAAACTGATGTCATATTCTAAAATTATTCTATTTCTGAAAAATAAAACACGTAATCGAGGTTTCTAGAAAGTTTCGGTTTGATGGACCTGGTATATAAGAGCTTGTTTGTCCCGATGTAAAACACTTTGTGACGTATAGTAAATCACAGTTTTAGCACTCAAGGTAATTGTAATTAAGTTATTCATTGTTTCGATATTTAATTTTTTGAAAGATAATTTAATACTAACCTAACGGCTAACTACTAAACTCGATCTAGGATATCTAGATTCTTGATAGATCTATAAAAACTTATTAATACTATACACTATACTAGATCTAGTAATAATTAAGTTATTTATTATTTCGATGTTAAATTTCTTAAAAGATAATTTAAAACTAGATCTACTTATTATTCTACTAGATCTAGATCTTGATTTTTTAATCAATTTAGCTAGATTCTAAAAATATCTACTAGATCTAGATCTAGTAATAATTAAGTTATTTATTATTTCGATATTTAATTTCTTGAAAGATAATTTAATACTACATCTTGCTAGATTCTAGATATCTACTAGATCTAGATCTAGAATCTAGTACTACTAGAGAATCTAGATCTAGATCTAGATCTAGCCTACAATGTTTAAAAAAAGGTTTTATTATAATTTTAGACACTTATACAATGGAAATGGAGATAAGCTTTGACAATGCTATAAAGAGCTACAAAGATGACTTTGTGAGATTCAGTGTCGGTAACCGTAAAGGTAGTGTTTGTTTACTTTACATCATCATCTTTAGTATTACAGTTTTCATCATCGGCTTGTGAGGACTGATAAAGTGTATTCAAGTCGTTGCCTACAGAGTTTCTTCCAGACTTTTTTCTCCGGGGGTGGGGGGGGGGGGGGGGCGGAACTTGATATTTTCGGGGGGGGGGGGGGCAGACACTGGTAAAAGTATATGTTTACATGAATTCCATTTTGTTCGGGGGGGGGGGGGGAGATAGGCGGTATTCTTTCTTCGGGGGGGGGGGGGGGGGGCTTATCCCCCCATCCGAAGAGATTCCTGGAAGAAACTGGTTGCCTAGTGCGTTATAGCAATGTGCCGTATAGCAATGTGCAATTATCTGAATTAAATAGGTTGCTTGCGACTGACGCATATTAGTTCGGTCCAGTTGTTATGTTGTATTTTTAGAATAATCTAGAATATACTACAGTTGAATTATGAATTTGGTAGAACAAAGCCTCTAAACTTTAGCAGTCGTTGTTTTGTACGTAATAAAATGCTACAGCTGGCGATGTATCACATATGCATCTAACAAAATGCCTGCAAAATCGTACTCGATTGGTAGATGCCTATTCTGTTTTGTTAGTAAATGTTACGTCCCTTGAAATTTTTTATATCACGGTTACTTCCCTTGAATACTCAGTGTTTTTACCGTGTTGTGTAGCTGGTGTAAGCCCCTTAGACAGTTAACTAAAGATCGATGCAGAGTTTAGACGTGTCATCTGAGTTGTTTTACGTGAACAAGAATACAAAACTAAAATTACCTCAGAGAACTGTATTTGTTCGACTTATGGACACTAGTAATAAAATATCAACAGTGCTTTGATCACTAGCCCTAAGAGAAAGTATAGACCATCTCTGCACAGATCATTTGCAGCACTATGAATTACCATAGCGCAGAACTGAAATAATATTGAAACAATTAGATTTTTATATTAAAGTGATAAAGATATATCTAAACACCAATCCATTGAAAATCCTTCCCATTTACGTTGGCAAAATGAAACGCACCCCCCTCTCCCCCAATCAGAAAAGATCGGGCGCTGAATTACTTTTAATCCGCCTGCACACCCCCCCCCCCCTCCAGTTAAGCCTCTATAGCCAGGTCGTAGTTGCATCCAGTTTTTATCAGTAAGATCCATTAATTAATTTTCTCACAAAGTGAAGAACAGATTTTTAAAAAAATTAGAGAGTTTGTATACATTTTATATTTCAGAACAGGTTACGCATCACGAAGTAAGAAACCTGAAATTAGAAGTAAATAATGTCGATTGGAAAGAAATCAGAAACCTTACGGAGAAAGGTGAATCTACACAGGTATGATCACAGCGTTTTTTGATAATTGTTATAACTGGGGACAATTTATCCTAGACTTATCTTCATCTCCCGTTCGTGCCCAAGACACATGGGCAGATGAATTGTGGTTGTTTTAATTAGGTACCCATCAGAGTTGGGTGGATTCAGGGAGGTTCCACTGATTTGAACCCGGATTCAAACTCGTGACTCGCGGTTTAGTAGTCTTTGCCGCTAGGCCACGGCGCCCCTTGCACAAATGTTGTGTTTCTCTCAAAACATTCAGGAGTTCATGGCTCGTCGGGAAGACATTGGTTCACTACACTGTTTAGTGCACTATCTAATAGTGCTGATCACACTATCCCTTCATATGCCGAGGTCTCTGAAGCAGATGAACTCTATTTCATCTGCCAAATGTGTCTTGGGCACGAACGGAAAAAGAAGAAATTGAATTCTTTGTGAGTATCATATTTTAGTATATATCGAACGTAGTTGAACTTGTCAAAAATCATCGTAGAGATAGTTATCATTCTTAGAGTCCCATCTAGTTTTTTTTTTGTATTTACAGAAGCATTTATACTTTAAAATTTTGTTGTTAAATGCCTTACTATTTTTAAAGATAACGAGACATTTCACCATTCTAAAATCTAGGTGCACATTAAAGGACAACAGAAAAATCTCTATGGACAAGTTACATCTGAACATGACCTAGACACACTCAAGAGTGTCGTCATTAAGGAGGGTGTTCTCAAAGGTGTGTATATCATACACATACATTTACTTTTCTTTTTTTTTTCGAATTTCCTCCGACATGTTATTTAATGCGTCATTTTGCTTTGAAAAATTCGCTTTAGTATTATGTTTTCATCATCAGCTTTTGAGGACTGATACAGATTTACAATAATAATACTTCTTTCAGCCTTATACTTTCATTCATTTAAGATGGTTTACTTATACATAATACAAAAAGTGTTGTTTAAATTTCACTTTTAATCCTGATAAGTAAATTGGAATAAAAAAAGAATTATATATATATATATATATATATATATATATATATATATATATATATATATATATATATATATATATAACGTATATATTATAAAAAATTAATTAATTATGTTGAATAATTTACACAGAAAATTATTTTATAGAATAAAAAAACTATTTGCCTTTAGTTCGTTTCATGTAAGATTAATATTATAGTTGGAATTAGTCATGGAATTGATAAAATGCTATGTGGTAGATAAATCAAAGCCCGCGTAGACACTGGAGTGCACTCAAATTACTTGACGTTTTTGTTTTCAGTTTTACACAGAAATATCTAAACTTTGCTCGTTTAGGTTCTAAAAAATACATTTTACTATTAAAAACCACCTTAATTAATATATTTATGACTAAAAAAATGTTTTTCTATAGTTTCTCTAAAGTCTCATCCCAGTGTTTTGCGTCAATGATAAACAACTAAATCTCTAGCTCTCAGAAATGACTAATCTTAAATTTGTCGTCTGTAATAACTACGTTTACTCCAATATAAAATATAGTATTTCTTTTAAACAAAACTATGTATTTTTACATTTTGATATCAAGGGCTTGAAAACATAGAGGTTACAATGGAGCTTCCACTACCTGAAGATGTACAGAAATTTCTTGGACAGACTGTGACCATCGACCCGAGAAAGCAGGAAAACAAATTGGAAAACAAAACGAAAGTTACCTTGACAAGTGGGACTGAGCATGTTAGCAATGCACACGGCGCCACAGCTCAAATAATTACAAGTGTACGGAAGTACGAAGGTATTGTGAGACTGTTTGCTGCTTCGTTCAATACAATAAAGTATTACATGTCAACTTGTTATGCGCCATTACATAAGCATATGAATATGCATATATTCATATAGGCCATTGACTCCTAGTTCAGCTTACATTTCTTTTGGGATTTGCTTCCATAGCCTTTGTCCAACCAAGAACAAGCTACAAGAATTTTTACCCAGTGTTATTCATGAAATATAGACTTATTTTTATTTATGTTTAACTCATCTGGAAACATCTATAGAATTTAAGGACAAATAACATTTTTAAACTAATTATTTACGATACTAAATTTAAAATACTAATTAAAAAAAAGGCTTATTAATCCATACAGTTTTGAGACATTATTCATTAATTTAATATGGAGATTATAAGTTCATCATTATTTTTTGTTTCAGTAGAACTTACATCATCATTATTTTTTGTTTCAGTAGAACTTACATCATCATTATTTTTTGTTTAAGGGGAGTTTTCATGTGAAGTCTATCCAAGTGGAAACGTATTGCTTTTTGACGGTGACAGAGCTCGCTCTAGTCCAGAGTTAAAGGAAGTTATAGCAAAATGTCCTACCGGCTTCAAGACTAACGGGAGTGACTTTTACTGGATAATGAAAGGAAAAGTTAATTTTACCTGGGAGGTTGATCATGGTCATGACTGGAAACATAATGAAGGGAAAATGTAAATGTGTCGATTTCTACAAGAGGTGTGGTTTTACATTTGTGCCGCAACATTTTCTATAGATTTTTTAAAATATATTTATTACAGAATCAAAAAAAATTATTCAAAACATGTTTTTGTCTATTAATTTTGTTATATATGAAAATTAAGTTCAATTTCGAATGTGAAGATTTCTACAAGAGGTATCGTATAACACTTGTGCAACATCCTCTTTATGTTTTTATAGATTATATTTTTATTTTTTTACTTTTCCAAACATGTTTCTGTCTGTTAAATTTTGTTGTATATAAAGATTAAGTTCAGTTTCGAATGTGTATATTTCTACGAGTTTAACACTTGTGTAACATCATCTTTAAGGTTTTATACGCTTTTATTTTTTACTTTTCCAAAGCATATTTTTGGCTGTTAATTCTGTTGTATGTGAAAATAAAGTTCAATTTCGAATGTATAGATTTCTGCAAGAGGTGTAGTTGTGACACTTCATACTATTTTGTAGTTTTTTACTTTTTTATTTTTCTAAACATGCTTTTGGCTGTCAATTTGTTCTATATCAATTTTGACTGTAATTTAAAACATATTTTTGGCTGTTAATTCTGTTGTATGTGAAAATTTAGTTCAATTTCTAATGTACAGATTTATACAAGATGTGTAGTTGTGCCACATTCTATTTTATATATTTTAAAAAAATTTCTAAACACGTTTTTGGCTGTTAATTTTGTTGTATATCAAAATAAAGTTCGCTTTTGACTCTAAGTTAAAATGAAGTTTAATTAATAAAATCTAACTTTAAAATATCATTGATTGTGTTATTTTGATGACGTTGTTAAAGCAACCACTGGTTTTATTAGGGCGAGCCGGTTCACATGCGACCATCAAGACACTAGGAAGGATTATTGTTTTAGCTTTGTTTTGTGTCAGTAGCGGTAAAGTAAGACTCGAATGTTTGTGGTGCATTCAAAAGTTCCGACCTATTCAACACGTGTGCTACTGCATGACGAAATAAAACAAACATAAAATCTTTTATAATAACAAGCTCTGAAGTGTACTGAAAATCTAATATATAAAGTTCAATTTTGTATTTCGTGGATTACAAAGGAATATAAGAAAACCGATACTTCCATTGCGTCAAGTTTTAAATGTCTAAAGTGCTCATCTTCATGTTTTGGTCGGTCGCACCAGAAAGTTATTTTATAGACACCTGCACCAAACTACAAGAAGATATACCATTTTATATAATACTAGCCGTCCCGGTTTGTGTTGTGTTAGTGTTGTGGTTGTGTTGTTTTTGTGGTTGTGTTGTGTTTGTGTTGTGTTTATATTTTGTTTGGTTTTTTTGTGGTTGGGATTGCGTTTGGATTTGGTTTGTTTTCGTTTGTTTTTTCGTTTGTTTTTTTCTTTGTATTTCTGTTTGTGGTTGGGTTTGTTGTTAGGTTTTTGTTTTTGTTTATATATGTAATTGATGTGCGTTATGTTTGCGTTTTTTAGTTTTGGTTGGTTGTGGGGTTGGGTGGGCAATGCCAGGTATATGATGATTACTAAACACACATGTAATGGTCCTTAACAGATAGATTTTTCACAGAGGCCAGACCAGGGCCTGTCCGGGACGGCTAGTAAGAACATAAAACAAACATGTTTTACTTAAAGAGGTTTGGTTGCTTATGAGATATCTTACATATGGGGTCAAAAAAATTAAATACACCCAGACAAAAATATATTTGAATACATATACACATACTTACCAGTGGAATATATATATATATATATATATATATATATATATATATATATATATATATATATATATACGAGAAAAATGGCCCGTTGAGGAAGGATACACCGGGCGCTAGGTTGATAGTGCTGTCCTCTTTTCTCTAAACTAAAACCAACCCACCCCCCCCCCACCCCCCCCCACCCCACCCCCAAAAAAACATGTCTACCGTCCCATTCAACGAAATATAATTATATACTTTTTCCAGTGTCCGCCCCCTCCCCGAAAATTCTACCCCCGCCCCCGAAAATTTCAAGTACCCCCACCCCTCTCCGGGGAGGAAAAAGTCTGAAAGAAACACTGGTGTCGCGCTTAGCCACTACGCGAAGAATTGCATTAAAGAAATTGCGAGAAAACCACTTTTTAGATTAGACACATTAATTAGGCGGTAATTTTATTATAGAGTATCGATGACGAAACCACCCCACCCCACCCCCCCCCCCCACACACACCACCCCCCCCCCCCCCACCCCCTACCCCCCACCCCCACTCCTAAAAAAATCATGTCTACCGTCCCATTTAACGAAATATAATTATATACTTTTTCCAGTGTCCGCCCCCCTTCCCGAAAATTCTACCCCCGCCCCCGAAAATTTCAATTACCCCCACCCCTCTCCGGGGAGGAAAAAGTCTGAAAGAAACACTGGTGTCGCGCTTAGCCACTACCCGAAGAATTGCATTAAAGAAATTGCAAGAAAACCACTTTTTAGATTAGACACATTAATTAGGCGGTAATTTTATTATAGAGTATCGATGAAGAAATTTCTTTTGAGTTGGGGAGGGGGGGGGGGGCTCAGACGTTCTTACGCGGGGGTGGGGCTTCGCCCCTACCCGAAGAATTGTATGAAATAAACTCTTCACGCAAACCACTTAGATTAGACAACATTTCCTCTTTATTCAATGTTTACGCCAGAATCAATGACGTCATTATATTACTGTGTGCACTTTCCGCCTTGAGATTATTTTCAACTCTGTGCTAAATGTGTCGACGTCATACTTCGTTTTTCGAATTACTATGCATGTTTTTAAATTGCTTGTGTTTTCTCTAGAGCGTTCTTGTCAGACAGATAGATAGATAGATAGATAGATAGATAGATAGATAGATAGATAGATAGATAGATAGATAGATAGATAGATAGATAGATAGATAGATAGATAGATAGATAGATAGATAGATAGATAGATAGATAGATAGATAGATAGATAGATAGATAGATAGATAGATAGATAGATAGATAGATAGATAGATAGATAGATAGATAGATAGATAGATAGATAGATAGATAGATAGATAGATAGATAGATAGATAGATAGATAGATAGATAGATAGATAGATAGATAGATAGATAGATAGATAGATAGATAGATAGATAGATAGATAGATAGATAGATAGATAGATAGATAGATAGATAGATAGATAGATAGATAGATAGATAGATAGATAGATAGATAGATAGATAGATAGATAGATAGATAGATAGATAGATAGATAGATAGATAGATAGATAGATAGATAGATAGATAGATAGATAGATAGATAGATAGATAGATAGATAGATAGATAGATAGATAGATAGATAGATAGATAGATAGATAGATAGATAGATAGATAGATAGATAGATAGATAGATAGATAGATAGATAGATAGATAGATAGATAGATAGATAGATAGATAGATAGACAGATAGATAGATAGATAGATAGATAGATAGATAGACAGACAGCGAAACTATTATTATATATATATATATATATATATATATATATATATATATATATATATATATATATATATATATATATATATATATTTTTTTTTTTTTTTTTCTTACAGGTGGACGAGGTACGGGTGACAGAATGAGATGCCGCACCGAGTGACACCTCGCTACGCCACTGCCGCTATGCGGTCAAAGAAGTCAAACGTGTAGGCTAGTAGGTTAAAAACTGCAAGAAGGTGATAATTATGCTAAAAACTGTTGATTATTATTAGTCTTTGTAGAACCTCGCTGTTCACGATATTTTTAACACTACGTGTATAAGTGTTAACATGTAATTATATAACATATAATTAACATATAATTTTATAGCTTTTTATATTAATGGGAACTAGATTTAAGTTGATTGGACTGTGACTTTACACCACTCTGGACTAGCTTTTAAAATGCTCCATCGGAAAGATGAAGTAGAGTTTATGTGTTACTTGACTTCAACTTATGGTGGTCAGCTTTATGCCGAGCCGCCTTTACTTTCTCAAACGTAAGTCGGGTACCCACTAGAGCTGGGTGAACTCAAAGACGTCCTACAGTCGCAGATCCGAACTGATATTCGAACTCGAGACCTTAGGGTTAACAACCAAACACTCTACCATTCGACCATGTCGTCCCTTTTCGAATATGTATGGACGGTAAAATCATCAGTAACCAAATGCGATACGGATAATCCAAAGATATTAAAAGATTAACAAAGAAACGCCCTAATACACCTCAATCAGATAAAACTGTATGGGGGGGGGGGGGGGCCCACAGATCTGGAGACCACAGTCCAGGTTACCCACGACATCAGACTTGCTATCTAACTCCTTCGATATCAATAATATAAAGACAGGCGAACAAGAAGAACATAGTGTTTACACACTGATAAACGATTACGTCGATCTCCTGTTACACAAGGGAAGCTAGTCTAGAAGAAATTTCATGCACAATAATACAGGAGGGGGAGGGGCGTTTTAAAAATATAGTGCACACAAAGCTTTATATTTTATATACATTACCTTCCTTTGCAGTGTTTATTCCAGATTTTTTCTTCGGGGGGGGGGGGGGGGGGGGGGGGGGGAGGGGGGGCGGGGGGGCGGGGGGGAGGGGGGGGCGTTGGGAGGGGGTGGGGTGGAATCGGACACTGATAAAATTATGTTTTCTACATAAATTCAATTAAGAGATTCCTGGAAGAAGCTCTGTTCCATTGGGACACATTGTCGCCAACTCGTTAAAACATCGTTAAAACATCGGACTTCTTTTTGAAATTTCTTTCTTTTGGTTGAGTTGTTTCCATTTAATAAGGGGATGTAGCAAAACCAGTGGCGTCGCTAGGTCGGGTGTCACCCGCAAGATGTCACTACCCCCCCCTCCCCCTTTTTTGTGTTTGCTCTGTAAATTTTACAGTTTATCTATAATCTGTTAATCAGTTGTTAATACAACTGGTTGTAGCATTGTTTTCTCTATAGTTTACATCATGGTGTCACTATCTCACTCCCCCCCTATCCATGTCGGGATTATCATTATGTACTTGAAATACTTTTAAGCTCCAATTAACCATTCATTGAACTAGCAAAAACGTATATTGCAATTTTTTTTCTAGGTGTAACCCCCCTCAATGGTGTCACTCGGGGTGGTCCGCAACCCCCGCCTCGCGAGGCCTCTGAACAAAACAATGTCTACATTGTTAACTGTTGGGATTGATTTTGCAGAAAAATAAGAACAATAACTCCCTTATAGATCGAAATTATTTCTTGATCAAAATCGAGAAGCGGAGATAATTCAGTATATATTGATATTCTAAAAGAAAAACACAGGTTGCTTCCCTCGGCAATGGTGTTCGAGGACGACTTGTGAAAGTAAGAGATATCACGTGACAACAGTGGCATAGACCCCCTCGGTATATAGAAAAAGTATGACGGGGGGTGTAAATCGAAAGTTTGAGGTGGGGGGGGGGGGGGTGCAAATCGAAAGTTTGAGATGGGGGGGGGGGCGGCAAATCGAAAGTTTGAGGAGGGGGGTGCAAATCGAAAGTTTGTCCCCGGGTAAAAATTGGAACCTCCTTTTAACGATCCTGGCTACGCCACAAATGACAAGGATATATTTATTGCTATGGGGTCATCAATAAATGACGTCATGCTTTTTGGACGATTTTTACCTCCCCCCTCCCCTTCGTGCTTAAGACACATGGGCAGATGAAGTGTGGTTGTTTTACTTAGGTACCCACCAGAGTTGGGTGGACTCAGGGACGTTCCACTGATTTGAACCCGGATTC